AAAGCTTTTTGGCTGGTTCATGTAGAATGAAAATTTATCTGCCATCGTAAACTCTGCTTGGTTATGAAAGTTCATATGGGAATGCTATAGAGGTCCACAGAGGTAATTTTTGAGGGGGAAGGGCTTTGGTGTTTTGATGTATGTTCTTGTGTATGAACACTGTAGTTCAAAGGATTGTTATTACCACCTTTGTATGAAATTTTATAAACAATAGTCGTTCCTTATTAATAGTTGATGACCTAGCATGGAATAATTTAGGGTTTTATGTGTATTTTGGGGCTACAAAAAATTCATAAAAAGAGATTTGTTAACAATTGAAATGTGTTTTCAGATCCAAACCTTCATTAATCGTGCATGGAAATCAGAGAGAGGTGAAGGCTCAACTTCATCCATATCCAAATGTTAAACTGTTTGCTCTAAGTTTGATGTTTGTGCAGTCACTAGTATCAAGATATGTCCAGAAGTGCATACAGTAACCAAAATGGCGCAAATTTGTCAAGTTTAGTTCTCATGATTTTTTTTTTTCAATAAAATGATGCTACTGTTGTACTAAGAGGGCTTAACCCTTTAACTCTCATGGGTGACCAACACAGAAGCAGATAAGTGATGAGAAACAAGAAAAACATTAATTATGGGATTAGTAGTTGATCCAACACCAAATTCTCAAAACTAACATTACAAGAACTATATGGCAGACAGTAAGGAGAATTATTAATGAGATCTTGGGAGTTAAAGGATTAAGAGTTGTGATCAGCACAGCAAATCTCATTGCCATGGACTGGGACCAGAAAAAGGGTACATGAAAGTTATATGTTCTTAACTCATATTATTAAAAAAGGTGCATTCCCCTTGAATATGACATGATATAACTAGAACACTGTAAATGAAGAGCAGACTTGTTGAACATTTCCTTCTGGTTGGTAATCAGAATTTCTTCCTTGTGGTCTTTTTGTGTGAACTGTACCATATATTGGATTGAGAGGATTAATACCTTGAAAATAAATTGAAGTGGAACTGACTGACTGTGTTAATTTATAAATTAAATGAACAAAAATCATGGTCAGTAAAATCCTAATTGAAAAGACATGTTCCCACGAAGAAGATTCATAAGTGTAATGGTTGGTGCAATAACTTTATTCATTTGGTTCTTGAGGAAATTTTCCCCTTACAAGCAAATTTCCCTTCTTCTTGCACAACATGGCCTGCTGCATTCAATT